AATATTGTTAACAATTAAAATGAATATATGAATGTTTGGCGGGGATATGGGTATAAATGAAATTTATTAATTATACACTGCTAATTGTTACTATATATGAAATGAAATGGAGGTAATAATTGGTCTCCTGGGGTGTGGGTGCACAGGGATATTTGTTATTCTTTTTATTGCACACACACACGCACTCTTTTATAGTTATATATGAAATTTATACAATTTACTTATGCATTTTTAAATTATATTTTAGATACCATAAGACACCATTTTATTGTATTACACTGCATTGTTGGTGGTGGGGCGGGGGGGTTAAAACGTAAAGAAGGAAGGAAGGAAGGAAGGAAGGAAGGAAGGAAGGAAGGAAGGAAGGAAGGAAGGAAGGAAGAAAGAGAAAGCAGCTTCAGAAATAAACTTTGGAACCAATTTAGTCCTCCACTCCTTCTCCCTCCCACCTCTGCTTTATCTCTCACCTCTCTGCTCTTAGTTTATTCCTGCTCTCTGCTTTTGTGAGCAGCTGTTTTGCATGCAGAACATTGCAGGAAACAAGTGGCCCATCTCATACCTTATTTAAAAATATTGTATTAATGCACATCCTAAAAGAGTTACAATCTGGATGTGATTATCATTTAGTTCTCCCAATGGCCCCCTTCCAACTATAACTCTTAATGACAAGCAAGAAGTTAAAATATATTTGGCGACTTTCACACACTAAAACCTGCTAACTGTCAAAATTAGGACAACATCATAAAAGTACCTGAATGGTACATGCCCTGAAGTGCATTTCTTTCAATATAAAAGTACTAGACAGATCGTTAGGTGGGCAGCTGAATGGTACAGTCCATGCCTGACAGACGACTTGCCCAGGCTGAGATGTGTGCAGCCAGACAGGGATCCTATTGGCTGCTTGCGTCATCTGATCCTTCCTGGTCCAGAAACTGTAGGGGTGATGCTACAGTGCAACTAAGATCAGATGTTCTCTTACATAGTGGGGTCTAGAGATTAACTGGTTCTAAACAAATGAAAGCTCAGATTCTCTGGATTCTAAGTTTTGTCTCATATAAATGTGTGTGGAACAAAGTGGCGGAGATCTAGAATAAAGCAAATCAAGGGAACATGTGGTCCTTTGGAAAGCTGAAAGCTGGACTGAAACTTCCATCCTGTCAGGCCAGCAGGACCAGCGATACAGGATACAAATTTCAGTGAACATGTGACAGGCCACATGTATTATTTGCCAAACCCCCCAGAAAATATATTAAAAATTATATGTGAAGGGTCACATGTCTTCCATCCCTGTAGGATATGAAAGTACGAAATTCCTACAGCATAAAGCCCAGCATCCTCCCTTTATCCTTCTGGTGTTTTTCTCTGCTCAGATTTCTGAGTCTTCCCTATGTTTGTGCTCTTTTTTCTCAACCAACACACCATGACTTGGCATTTCAGTTCTAGAAACCTGTGTCAGATCATTCATGATTTATATAACCTTACTGAAAATTTGATGACTTGGGCTTTGCACATGACCCCAATGATGTATATTCAATCTTTTATAGAATCCTCAGAAAACAAATATTCGGATTAGGTTTTGGAGCAAAGATCACAATGCAAGATGAATACTTTACAAGATGGAGGCACTAGTCTTCATGTATGAAAGTGAGAGACTCTGTAATAAAGGAAAGGCACTTACAGATTTTTCCTTTGCTGTTCAAAAGTTGAAAACGTGCCTGAACAATTTTAGTTCTGTCTAGCCACTGGGTTAATTTTAACCAGTTTCTATTTTTAAATATGTACATGCTATGGTTAAATTTTCTTCTTTAAGGGCTTTTATTCTGTTGCAATTAAATTGCATGGCTTCGGGGTTTATGTATTATATTTAAAACAAGAGAGCCCATCTGGTGTAGTGGTTAAAAGCATGGGAGAGGGACTCAGGCAAACCGGCTTCCAGTCCCCGCTCAGCAATGGAACCAACTGGGTGATTTAGGTCAGTCCCAGTCTCTCAGCCCAACCTGCCTCACAGGGTTGTTGTTGTGGGGATCAGATTGAAAGCAGGGGGAAGAGCATGATGTAATGTGCTTTGCCCATCCAAAGACAGAATATAATCTAAGAAATAAATGCTTAAAATAGTTTGAAATCATTTACAATGTGAACTGCCTTGTGAACAGCAGAATCTGTAGTATCATGACTTAATCCTGGACCCGACCCTGAACTTGGGCACACAAGATAGGAAATGGAGATTCAGACCATACACCCCTGCAAGCCCCTGATTGAAGACTGGGGAATTTTGGGAATTACAGTCCCACACATCTGGAGGGCACAGAGTAGGGGTAGGCCAAAATAGCCAGTTCTAAGAACACAGGAGGCCTCCTCAATCACTACAGTGGATCTGGTCAAGGAGATCTCCCTAAGAAACCTAACATAATATAAAACCATGTACATAGGAACAATACAAGTATTGTACACAAACAACACCACAAATCACGGAAGAGTTAACCATCTTATCACACGAGGTCCAATGCCTGGGTACATTCAGTGGCATGGTGCCACCAAACCTTGAGGTGCAAGGACCTACCCTTCAGTTTTGGTCAAGCCAGCAAAGAAACTTGTTGAGCTACGACAGGTTGGAGTGACTTTCACCCACCAGCTGCCCTAACATAGCTTGGACTTCACCTTCACCAGCACGTGTGCTCATTGGTCAGGGACTGTGGGAGTTGTAGCCCGATTCACCTGGATGGCCCCAGGTTGAACCGGAGCAGGTCAGGTGCGAAGGCCAAAACCCCAATGGGAAGGGCCCCATCCCATCTCCTCATACCAGACAGACTCTGCTTGCCACCATTCCTGGGGCAGACTGGTGCCTTGTCTCTTTGAGTCGGCAAGAACTGGCCCCCTTAGGGTTCGTTGTTGTATATCGCGTCTGCAGAAGAGCCTTCCTTAGCCTGCTGTTTTGTTTCATACTGCCTTTCCCAACATTCCTAGCCATTGGCCACACAGACTCAGGCTGATGGGAGCTGCTGCAGAGCATCCCTCTCAGGTCTAAGTCCAAAACACCCAGAGGACACCAGGCTGGCGGAGGCTGCTGCAGAGCGTCACTCTCGGGTCTCATGTTCCAACCCAGCTTTCACTGTGCAGTCCACGTTCCAGGACTGTGCCTTTCAGCTACAGAGGATGCTTGGATGAAGGCCCACTTAGACCCCTTTTACTGCAATTGGGAATTGGCTTCAGGCGACACACTGTAGATCAAGTTGCCCATTGCCTGTCATAATTAGCTGATTACACTGTTGTCAGTGACCCCGATCTAATTTTAAATCAAGCCACCAGAGACTCTCCATCTCCCCCACCATAAAACTTGAGGAACATTATAATATTGTAAAAGCCCTGTGGGTAACTCAATATATAGTCATTTAAATCCACACAGGCCAACCCATATTAGTGGCTGGGAGTTAATTCTTTATACACATGAATTTCACAAGCAGAAATGAAAGGTCCGTGAGTTAATAATATAACTAAATATTGCAAACTGTTCCACATTTCAATTACTTCATAAGTGCTAGTCCGTTTTCATGTCATAACACATTGGAGACCACCCATGATGTGATGACAAGGAAATAAGAGCTCCTTGAAGTACTTCAGTTTAATAGTACCATTTCTGCAAGCTGATGTGGCTATGAGCTTAAGTTGAGCATGGGGAATTCTTAGCCCAAATCTCACCTGGGTGACAAAATCCCAAACAGTGCAAGCCTATGCAGACGAAGTAAGAAGGAAACCTTGTTACGTTCAGGAGAAACTACAAAGCCCTGTACAGTTTGGGTCCAGACTATCTGAAAGACCATATTCCCTATACGAGCTGAAGATATTCTGGAGATTTTCTCTTGGTTCCACCACCCTTCTGGGGACACCTGGTGGGAACATGGCAGAGGACCTTCTTGGTGGTTGCCCCCTGGCCCGGGAACTCTCCTCCTAGGGAGACTAGGTAGTGCATTCCCTGTTTGGGTTCTGCAAGCAGGCAAAAAACATTTATTTGGGAATGTCCTGTGAGTTTGCACTGAATTAGTTTTGCTGTTGATATTTTTGTAGTGTTTTTAATCTAGGTAGGAGTTTATTTTAATATTTAGTCGATGTAATTCTATTAAAAAGATTTAATTCTATTTTTAACTTTTGTGTATTTTACATGTTTTAATTGCATGAATTTCCGAGTCACTGGGAATAAACAGGATGCCTAGGAGATGACTGCCTTACTCTGAAGAACTCCAACGAGAGAAGCATACTACTCCCTGTGAACTAATTCTATCATCAAACTACTCCTCCTTCCAGGAAAACACGTTTCCCAATGTACAGCCAAGATCTACCCTCCTATAACTTAAGCCACTTAGATCTAGCACAAGTCTTTGCAGCAGCTCCTCATGCATTCAAAGTGTGCTCACATACATTCCCCCACCCCATCATCTTTTCTCTAGGCAAAACATTCCCAGCCTATTCAATCTTTCTTTTAGAGGACTTGTTTTGCATGCCCTGACCATTTCCCTTGATCTCTTCTCAACCCCCCTTTGAGGACTGGCCTTTCAACTTTGGGTTGAGGCCCATCATACACAACATTTCAGGGAAAATAGTGTTTGCACTTGTTGCTCAATTAAGGCCCCAGTTTTCCAAGGTGATCAGCCTGTGCCTAAGCCAGGGTACTCTGGGCTGCAGATTGGAGCTTGCATAACTGAGGATTCTTCCCCCTGCCTGCAAAAGCATCCCTGCATATAGAAAAGAGGCAAGTCTGAGAGAATGCAGAATTAAAACCCTGCTCCCTAAGGATCTGGTTTTCTTTGAGAAGGCTTTTATGGAGGGGATAGAGGAAGCCATATACTTCATGGAAATGCTGCTGAAAGCGGTACAGTTGAGGAAGAAAGAGAGTTCTTAAAAAGGAACTAGGTACTGAGAATAGCCTGAAGGTTCCCATAAAGAGGGCACTCTAACTTTCCTCATAAATAACACAAGCAGTTGTTTGTCTTTAAAGTCAGACTTACTCATTCCATGGAAATGGCTCTCTCCTTCTCTTTCAGAGCAGCTGGAGAAGTGGATGAGCTCTCCTGTTGATTTGGATTAAAAAGAAGAAGCTGTGTTTGACTGTGATTGCTCTTTTAAAGACACACGTTCAGACGAAAACATGCAGGCTATTAAATGAGATTCTCATCCAAAGCAAAGGTCAGGCTGAGTGTAACTGCTATCTTCAATTAATTTCAGCATGCCTATAACTCCACGAGACATGAATTTTGCAGAACTTTGTACCAATACTATTGTGGTTTATTCCTGCTATTTGCTGTGCTAAGAATGCATTTTCCAGTTCTTAGAGTCCTTCCAAACAGGGCTTTTCTCATACCATCACCCTGTCTGATTCACAGAATTTTACAGCAAATCCAAATCTTGTCTTCCTCCTGGAGCCATCACATATTTTCCTAATGCTTCTTCTATCCCATTCCCTTACCACAGAGAACCAGAGTGGTGAAGTGGTTAAGAGAGCTAGACTGGAACTCGGGAGATCTAGGTTCTAGTCCCCACTTAGCCCTAAAGCTCACTGGGTGACTTTGGGCTAGTCACAGCCTCTCAGCCCAACCTCCCTCACAGAGATGTTGTTGTGAGGATAAGACTGAGAAGAGGAGGAGAATTATGTAAGCTGTCTTAAGTTCCTTGAAAGGAAACAAGGTGGAATATAAACTAAATAAACAAACAGTTACAGGTTTGATAAAATGCATTCCCGCTCACTGAACATTGTAGGCCTTTATTCTGCCTAAACTGGCAGGATTGTACGCTAAGAAAGAAAGAAGGAACTGCTTGCCAATGCAGTGCTCCTTATTTCTGTGGACCACCTCTTGATCCTGCTCACTCCTACACATGCTCACCTGTAATCAAACTCCAAATGAACATTGTCGGATGGACAATGTCACACAACAGGTTGTGTTAATGATGTCTCATGTAGAAAATTGTGCACAGTCCTAATTCAGATTGGGAGCACTGGGCACCAGTAGGGGTTGATTAAACCTCCTTCCCGTTGCACACTTTGCTTCATGAAATGACAGAAACATGGATAAAAAAGAGGCATTCACTGACATCGAGGGATATTTTCCTTTTTTTAAAAACCCATGCAGAATGGGGAGGGGGCTACTGGGGAAATGAGCTGGGTTAACTCTTACCCCCCTGGTATTCAATGCTCCCAATCCAAATGAGGCTCAAATGCACTTATATTGAAGTAAAATTAAAACTAAGCTGTAAATACGCTCCCCACAATTAACTTAACATGTAGTTTGCCCTTCCCAAAACAAACATGCAGGTAACTGCAGGAGTTTTTCCTGACTGGTATTCGCTTGGTCTCAGTCTAGTCCTACCATTGGGGTTTCTTTGGTCTATGCATGACCCTCTCCCAACAGCTCCCCATTTTATTTTCCCCTACTTAATTCACACCCCACACTCACTTCTCACCCCCTCTGGACACAGCGACTTTCAGATAGCTGCAGCTGGCCTTGCTCCTGGTTCCTCTCCCATGGAGTTCTTCATGGCATGCTGACTGTCAGGTCCCCTGTATTCCAGCTCCCTGCCTCTTGTGGGCACGGGAGGGAAGAGAGGTGGAGCCGAGTCAAGGGAACAGCCTGGTTGACTCCCATCCTTGGATGCCATGCATGTCCAGCCACTCAAAAGTCAGGGCTCTTAAAGAGACACTCGCAGGACAACTGAAAGAAGCACCATCGATTCAAACAAAGGTCAATTCAGTGCAGAGAAAAAGCCTTTGATGAGTGGGGAGTTTGGGGATCTGTACAGCACATACGCAAACTCCTTCCCCACATAATAGGGGGTTAGGATTGGATTTAGGTATGCACAAGTGGGCTGGGAGACGTTTCCCACCCCCTAAAGGTTTCATGGAGGGTTGAGGAAACATGGAGAACTGTGATGTGGCAGGAGATGCCAGGATCCCTCAAAAAACACTTTAGACACTTTTAACAAGGGCAGCCCTTCTGTTCACAGAAGGCAGATCCTGAATCTGGCCAAGCATCTCTGAGGATGACTGCAGGCCACCAGGGATCAGATGGGCGGAAGGGCAGCCAGTGACTTCGCCTTGTAGCAATAACTGGCCTTGATTCACTTATAAAGATGGAAGAAGATTCCAGTCAAGAATCTGGAATCCAGGTTCCAATCTAGTCAGGCCCTTTGCTGCTTACATAATTGGTAAGGATCAAGCCTGTACTCAGTTCCATAGTCCCGTCTTGGATTCTGTTTCTTGATGGTCCAAGAGTCAGAATGTTGCAGAATTGTGGTGGAATGCTGGGGTGTGGCTTTTAAATGGGGGCAAGCAAGACCTGCAACCAAAATGGTGAATCGCAGGACAGGCCAGGCCAGCTTTCTCCAAGGATTCTCCATTCCATCCCCCTTCTCCTCCTAAGTCAGCATTCCAGGCTCCCTGGGCATGCTCAGTCCTCAGTGGCATCTTTTGGATTCCTCCATTTAGGGCACAATCTGATTGCAGTGACCATACGCCCCGAGCCCAGAGACTTATGGACATCCTACACAGAACAGGAGCATCACCAGAGGTGCTCTTCCCTCCCTGTCTTTTTGCTGAGTAGCTGGGGCATCTCGGAGGGGGAGGGAGGGCTGCTGGAGGAGGCTCAAGATAGCTCATGTCCAGGCCTTCCAACTCTCCTTGCCTCCCTGCCCTCCAGAAAGCACCCTCCTCCTGCAAAGTGGCTTTAAAATACCTGCAATATCCTATGACCCCCTCAGTCATGTCGACACCAGAGGATTGCTCCCCTCCATTTCCCCCATAAATATTATTGGTACTTTTACAAACCTTGAGCACCCCATACACTGCCCCAGGAGCGGCCGATGCCTCCCTTCCTCTGTGTGTCTGCAGCTTTGGCTTCATGAGGATCCGCTCTTGAAGAACAAGTTTGCTGTTAGTAAACAGAAGGAATAATAGCCACCCCTCCAGCCATTTGCTCTTCAGGTTCGTCTCTCCCATCTATGCTCTTATGTACAGTCCCTGAAACAGATATTGAAGAAAGCAGCCCGTAACACTTCTTTGCTTTTTCTTCCAGCTGTAGTGCTTTCTTCATTAATAGGATAAAGATTAAAGGCCCTTTGTTAGGCTCTTTGGCACACACATTCAGCTGATGCTCTGTGCCACTGCACACATTGCACTGCGGGAGAATAAATGCCGGCTTGTCCAAGATTATCCTTCTGCAGGAAATTCTGGGACTTTCCCTGGCCGGGAAGAAGTGGGCTGCTCTCTGACCTACATTGCAATTTCTAGTTCGCCACACAACTCTGCTAGAACAGGAATGGGGAAGTGGGGCCCTCTGGATATTGTTGGACTATAACTGCCATCATCCTGCACCATGGGCTTATGCTGGCAAGTATGATGGGAGGGACAGTCCATCCACTGGACAGCCACACACCCTGCACATTTCCCTTCCCCATGGAGATACAATTGTAGGGCTTTATTCTTAAAATGAGAGGGGCTGCGGGTTCGTTCTCCTTACCCTAGCTGTGTGTGGGACGGATGTGGCCAATTCTAGTTCTATGTAGCTCTAATTCTAAGTTCTCATTCTAGAACTGGCCACTCCAGTTCTAAGTGGTTGTTTTTAAAATGCACACACATGTACATGTGATTGAGAGTATGAAAGATGGCTGCTTTGGTCACTTGTTCTCAAGGGCTGCTGGCTGGGCTTCCGAAGAATCAGAATCAGAATCAGATGAGGAATGTGGGCCAAGCTGAGCTACTGAGATGAAGGAAGCAAAGATGCTTATCTCAGGCCAGACTCCCCAGGTGGGCAGGCAGTTTCTGTGAATAACCAGGAAGTACAGTTGGCAGGAGGGGACTGGAGTTTCTCAGACACAGATGGGAGGCCCTCAGCTCTTGACTCCATGATGAGTGGCCCAATTAAAGGACTGGTGTGCAGCAAGGAGGTGTGCTCATTTTCAAAAGGCCCCTCCCAAAGAGATGGGACCCAGGCATGCTCGTAAGGAGAGTCCTGGAAGTGATTACTAGATTGGGCTCAAAAAGCTGCTCCGTGTCTACTTATTGGATAGCTCTGAGGGATTCCTTTTGACCAACAAAGAACTCTTTGCAAGGAAAAGATCTGTGACTCTGAGCCCATGGAGGAAGAAACAGCTCCCAACGCACACATTTCAGGTAGACAGAAGCACTCATAATTTTACTTATTCCTCCAGGGCTGGCATTGAAATCACTTTTGAGGGCCAGTGAAAGAAACTGGGCTTAATTTCAGTTCGGGAATTCTACTATGAAGCTCCATTGTGTTACCCTGAACTAGTGCCCTTTGCTTGGGTATTTTAAAAAGTCATAATCTGGGGAAGGAGTCCTCCAATTCATCTGTGTTTCACAGTCCCCTGCCCAAGGTTGAAAGACAAAGAGATGTTGTTGTTTTGAATGAACACGGTTAAACAGAATGTTGATTTTCTTTTAAAAACACCCCCGCCATTTAAATCAAGTGATGCATATGTATTCTGCATGCTCTTACTGCTTTGCAGTGATAAGCAGCATGCACAATGGACGGCTAGATCATAAGAAAGAGCCATGCAATGTGGCAAAGAACAAGCAATTCCCCCGACGGGCAACACCGTCTAACATCAAGGACAAGTTGCTCTCAATGGCAAATTTCAAACGTCTGTGTTATTCCTAGCACTGCTGTGTGACACAAACAACTCACCTAATCTATACCTAATTTTACACTACAGCATATCTGATATTGCCTCCTTACTGAGATTAGCTAGCACAGAATTAAGAACATATTATTATCAAGAGTAATCAAACTGTAAAGCCAGAACTTGCCCTAGGAGCAAAAATGACGAAATGGAAGCAGCTACACTTTGGGCACATCACGAGGTCCTGGAGAAGACAACGATGCTAGGAAAAGTCAAAGGCAGAGGGAGAAGAGAAAGAACAACTCTGAGATGGATTGACTCCATAAAGAAAGATGCAGTCTCGACTTTACAAGAGCAGAGGACAGGAGCTCCTTCACAGGGCTGCCATAAGTCAGAGATGGTATGATGACACATAAAACAGAAATAATAGCCAGTTCTCAAAACTGTGCCATCCTCCAGCATCATATCAAGAAGCAGAAGCCAGGGAAGGGTGGCTTTCAGTGAGGAAATGGGGCTATGCAAACAGACCTGGCTGAATGTTCCCATTAATTCAATGGCAAAGGCAAGAGCCATAGCGCAATGATGGAGCACGTGGTTTGCATGAAGGCTGAGCTGGCCAACACTCATGCCCAATACCTTAAAAAAAACAGTGTCTCTTAGTGAAGATAATACTGAATGAGATGGACAAATGGGTTGACTCAGTATAATGTTTTTCATGTTCCTAAAATAAACAGAATGAAGAGAGCCATGTTTATATCTCGTCCTGTCCTCAAGGAGGTTGGGATGTTCATATTTTGTTTCATCCTTTCCACAAGATCTGTGTGGATTGGATGGAGTTGTCCATTCCATCTCTGTAAGCCCACAAATAATTTTCCCCTGCTCTAAACATAATGCAAATAAATTCACAGTGAAGAATGAAATTTGTTTAGTGCCTTAAACCTTGTTATACACACACACACACACACACACACACACACACACATATATATATATATATAGAGAGAGAGAGAGAGAGAGCTATATACAGTATATATAACTTTTCTATAATAACTATATAACTATAACTTTTCTAAATAGCTTAACATACTTAATCAAAATTTCAGTTTTGTCAACAAATTAATTTATGATGATTTGGGGCATTATAAACAACAACAGCACATATGTCCACAAAATCTGCCTGACTCAAGAGATCATGGAACTCACAAACCAGATTAGCAGAAACATGAACTCGTTTCAGTCAGTTTTAGATTTCTCCAATATACTTACAAGGAGACCAGCAAGGTCAATGTGGGCTTTTCCCACTTACCTTCACATTGGTCCTGTGAAGTAGACGAGGCTGAGAGTGATGCCCAAAGCATAGCTTTCCTGGATTAGACCACAGAGTGCAATCCAGTCCCATATTCTGCTTCTCTGAACAGCAGATTAGCTTTCTGTAACAGTGCAGAAGGCCAACATAAAAAATGAATATTGTGCCATCATATTCAGAGGAGGACAACAAGGGTGATCAGGGGACTAGAAACAAAACCCTATGAGGAAAGATTGAAAGAACTGAGCATGTTAGCCTCAAGAAGAGAAGACTGAAGGGAGATAGGATGGTACTCTTCAAGAACTTGAAATGTTGCTACAAAGAGGAAGGCCAAGATCAATTTTCATTCATCCCAAATGAATGGGATGGATATGGAATAACAAATTACAGGAAGCCAAGTTCCAGCTGAACATCAGGAAGAACTTCCTGCTGGTTAGAGCAGTATGACAATGGAAGCAATTACCTAGGGAGCTTCTGGCTTCTCCCACACTGGAGGCATTCAAGATGCAGCCCCACAGCATTCTGAGAGGGATGGTTTAAGCTAGAGTCCTGCACTGAGCAATGAGATGGACCTAGCGGTCTTCTTAGCTCATTCCAAGCCTGTTCTTCTATGATTCTGTGAGTCTATGGTTTGTCCTAGATGTATCCTGCAAACAGTATATGTCTGTTTTTGGAGGTATACTGCC